AGCGATGCTAAGATCTTGATATTTGGGAGGCCTAATTTCCAACTGGATGTATTCGAGATGATCAGACACCTGGCTAACTACTTCCGTCTGCGCCGCGGGGTGCTAAGTACGCGGGGCCCGGGAAGGGAGGACCATCCCCCACAAAGCCCCTCTACTTGGGAGGGACCCTGAAGTTTTCTGGGTGGCAGTCTCGCCCTCTCTGTCTGGCTGGGAAAGGGTTTCGTCTTTGCAAGGACTCTAGAAAGCCAAATTCACTCAGCGCTCTGGGACTCTGGCCCCACATCCTCAGCCAGCAGGAGTGACAATACATTTGTGGGGAGGGTATGGAAACACAGGTGCAATCTCTTCCCATTACTTTTCTTCCAGGCTCAAAGAAAGCCGCTGCCCAGATGGCTGAGACCCAGGAGACTGGGGCCAAGGAGGCTGAAACCCAGGAGACTGGGATTCAGAGATCTCCAGATGAGATTCCTGAGGCCGGGACCCAGCTGTCTCCGGACCTGAAAGTCCCAGAAGCCGGGACTCGGCAGCCTACCGAGGTAGCCCAGGACCTGGTTACCAGGTTATGAAGGCATCTTTGAGTCGGGAGAGCCAGGAGTTAAAGTGGAAGTCTCCGAAGAAGTCGTATTCCTAATAGTTCTCCTTCTACCCTAAAAGCTGGGGAAAGATTGTGTGATATGATTTGTTTTCCCCCCTATGTTAAATGTAAACACGAATTTAAAAAGTTCTAATAAAAAAATCAAATTGGAAGGTAGAAAGAGAATACCACATTCCTCCCCAAATTCTGTGTGCTGTCCTCTACCCCAAGGCAGGTGAGACCTTTTGGATTGCTAGCTGCCCAGGACCAATAGTCCCCAGCTGAGGTCAGGTGTTTCTCTTGTGCTCCTTAACGCAGGGCACCTGACTTTGCAAAAGGTGTGAGACCTTCCGATTGAGTCAGTCCTTGTATGGAAACCTCTCCAAACCGTAATTCTACTCAAGGTGACTTGGGATTTAGAAACCTGGTAACTGGGATCCAGTGGCTGCTACCCAGCTGAATATGAAAGGCCCACTTGGGTGTACCCCCACTCTGCCACCCAATGCTTCCCAACTGGGGCAACTGACCGCAGAGGGGAGGGAAACTGCAAGAGTCGGGAGGCAATGCTGAGATCCTCAATCCTTGTCAGGGTCAACCAAGCTTTGGTGAAATTGGACATGAACCAGCCCCAGGCAGAATAAGGTTAATCTCCTTAGTTAATTCAGCAACTAGAAGATGCGAGACATGGGGGAGACCCCTCTTGATTCCCTCTAGAGTTCTAGAGCCCAGCGCGGTACAGGAATGCCGGTCCTGGCTTGTGCGCATTAATCTGGAAGTTTGCACGCTAACGGTCTTGTATCAGGATACCAGGATTTTTTCCTTTGTATTGTTAGGATACTAGGATAAAACTAACACACAGGAATCTTCGTGACATGAAATGTTTCATTTAAAACATTCAAGGAAGCCCGGAGCAGTGGCGCACGCCTGTAATCTCATTGGCTCAGGAGGTTGAGGCAGGAGGATCGGGAGTTCAAAGCCAGCCTCAGCATCTTAGCGAGACCCTGTCAGCTCAGTGGGACCCCATCTCTAAATAAAATACAAAACAGGGCTGGTGATGTGGCTCAGTGGTTAAGTGTCCCTGATTTCGATCCCCGGTACAAAATAAAAATAAAACATTCAATGAGGAGAGGAAAGCAGAGCACAGCAGCTGGAAAAGCGTTCTGGATTGAGGGCATAGTGCCAAAGTTAAACATGGAGAGGAAACGGAATTTTCGTGAGGATGCATTTCCTTACACAATTTCCTCACCTGCGTGGCCCTTTTGCGACTCATTCCTATTCGCTTAAATTGTACAGCATATAAAACATCACATAAATACAGTACAATGAAGAACTTGGTTGGTTTCTAATCTATTCCTATCTGCAAGTGAATACCCTCAGGATGATGTAAGAGCTCACTGGTAAGCACTTGCCTAGCATGCCCAAGGCCCTGGGTTAAACCCCCAGCAGAGGTTGGAGGGTATCTACTCTTTAAGAACAAGTTTGACTGGCACGGTGGTGAGTGTCTGTAATCCCAGCAACTCTGGAGACTGAGGCAGGAGGACTTCAAGTTTGAGGCCAGCCTCAACAAATTATTGGGGCCCTAAGAAACTTAGCGAGAACTTGTCCCAAAATAAAATTTAAAAACCAAGGATGTAGCTCAGTGATAAAGCACTCCTGGGCTAAATCCCCTACACCAAAAGAAAAAAAAAAAAAAGCAAGTTTGGCTTTAATAAACTATGGTGCTACATTAAACTTCCTTGTTGGAGGCTGGCAGAAGCCAAGAGCAAAAGAAGGCAGAATTTAAATAATATCATGCTTACATGTTTTTTAAAAAAATTTAATGTATATAGATAAGTTTTTGTAGTACTGGGTATTGAACTCAGGACTTGTAGCTTAGGAGACAAGCACTTTACCAACTGAGCTACATACCTAGACCCTAGATAAGTTTTGTTTGTTTGTTTTAAGCAATGCTTTTGGGGCTATGGTGGTGGCTCAGGGAGCACTTTCTTTTTTATTTATTTATTTATTTTTAGTTTTCGGCGGACACAACATCTTTGTATGTGGTGCTGAGGATCGAACCTGGGCCTCTCGCATTCCAGGCGAGCGCGCTACCGCTTGAGCCACATCCCCAGCCCCGGGAGCACTTTCCTAGCATGTGTGAGGCACTGGGTTTGATCCTCAGCACCACGTATAAATAAAGGTTTAAAAAACTTTTTAAAAATTTTTAAAAAGCAATACTTATTACAAATCTTGACAAAATAGAAAACATTTAATGGACTGAGGGACAACTTTAGCAAGCCCCTGTCTCAAAAAAATGAAAGAAGTAGCCAGGCATGGTGGTGCCCACCTGTCTCAGTAGCTCTGGAGGCTGAATCAAGTGGATCACAAAGTTCAAAGCCAGCCTCAGCCTGTATCAAATTATAGAAAGGGCTGGGGATATGACTCAGTGATTAAGCACTCCTGGGTTCAATCTCTGAGAAAGAAAGAGGAAAGGAAGGAAAGAAAGGAAGAAAGAAAATTAAAGTTCTGGGGATGTACCTCGGTGGTACAGTGCCCCTGGATTCAGTCCCCAGTACTGCTGAAAAGAATTTTCACTCAGATCAAAATCTCCAGAGCTTTTCTATTATCCGCCCAAACTCACTCACTTCCTTACAAGACATCACTTTTAATTTTTTATTCAACTGTTAAATAATTGTTATACCTTTTTTCTTCTACCACAATTTTCCTAAGAATGGATATACTTTATTCAACTCATCCCTTACTGCTGATTCATATGTTCCCAAATATCTCAATTACAAACTGGTGCATCAAATTTCAATTTTTTTCCCCTCTGTAACAGGAATTGAACCCAGTGGCGCTTAACCACTAAGCCACATTCCCAGTACTTTCCCCTGATTATGCAGAGAGGGGTCACTGTAGGAGAAGGGGTGGTGGGTCCCTCATAGCTATTGGTACCAGTCCTAGCTTATTGTCTCATAATAAAGGATGGTGGAAGGTCTTCTCCCAAAGGCACAGGACTCCACAGCACTTCCTGGGGTCTCTCAATTAGGGGAAGGGGTGGGAGTGCACAGCAACAACTAGTTACAGTGGGAAAGGAGCAGTCCAGCCTTGCCTGGGTAGAAGAAGAAATCTCCCACACCTATGCCCACTCCAATCAATAGCCAGAAAAGGGTTCATCCACTGGAGGGTAATAACAGTTGGACCAGTAGTCAGGAAGAACCAGGTCAGATATCCCCAGCCTCTGATCACGAGGAAAAAAAAAATATCAAGATAATAAACATGAATCCTCACACTAAGAGTAAGGAAAGGGAGTGAAACGAAGTTCCAACCCCCACTGCCTACAGGCTAGAAAAAGGCAGCCCTTGGCTTATGAAGTGCTGTGACCTCAAGACAGACAAATCAGGAATAAACCAGGTTTTCTGTTTTAAGGTACTGGTGATTGAACTCAGGAGCGCTTTACCACTGAGCTAAGTTCCCAGTTCTTTTTTATCTTGAGGCAGGGTCTGCTAAATTGTGAGACAATTTGCAATCATCCTGCCTCAGCCTCCGGGTCACTGGGATTACTGGCGCGTGCCATTGCACGGGCTCAATTCCTCTCACCAAAACAAGGCTTTTTTAGCCGGTCGCAAATCTGTAATCTCTTTACTGCCGAGGAGTGACTGGGGACGGGGAGAATCGCAGGAGTTAAACCGAAGCCAACTTTGAAAACAAAAACCTCTTGGCACCTTCTGACCCAAGAATTCCGCTTCTGGGAAGTGCGGGATACCATGAGAGGGGAATGTCTTGGACAGACTGGTAGTTGCAGTGTGATAGGTAATGAAAAAACAGCCCCCTCGATCCTGAAACAAAGACCTGTGTGGCATCACATAAAACCTACAGACGACTCAAACAGGACGCCCTCCGCCCTCCGCGGACAAAGGACCTGGGACACTGAATCTTGTGGGAATCTCAACCAGCCCAGAATATTAAGGGTGGACGACTGAGTGTTTGAAGGCCACCTGTGCTCAAGCCAGGTTCCAAGAAATCGCACACCCGGTGCTCCGTGGGAGTCACACTACCAGGTTTAGAGCCCCTCAAACCTAGCCCTGGGTAGAGCTGCTCACCTGTATTCCCAGGTACTCAAGGAGAGGCAGGAGAATTGCAGTTCTAGGTCAGCCTCAGCAACTTAGAGACATCGTCTCAAAAATAAAAAGTAGTGGAGATGTGACTCATTGGGAAAGCACTCCTGGGTTAAATTTAAAGTACAAAAATACTCCAGATACTTCATCTGTGAAATTAGTGAAATCATCAGCTCCCTGCCCTTGAGGACCCAATTCTGACCATAAGATCAAAAAAGGATTAGGACTTTCAAAATGATAAACTAAAATGTAAAAGCAAAACAAGTGATCAGCTTCTACCCACCCCTCACATCAAGTAAAGTCAATGTTTTGTAAATTTGCTTTATTTCACGTGAAAAGACTATTACAGACAAATTTCATTAGAATAGTTCTACAAATACATTTACCACAAAACAAACCACTATTCAAAAGGCACAGGAAAAAGTAATGTAGAGATTTAAGAATACTTGGTCTTCCATCTCTTCAGCAGGCTGTCCTCATTGGTCTAATTATTGCCATCTTGTTTGTATTAAACTGGATGCTGGATAGTTTCTGGATATGGTGAACTAGCCTTCAAGAACTCCTCAAGGCGTTTTATCTTCTTAGCTGGAAGGCAAGCAACTGATAAGCATCCACAAGGACTGGGGAGAAGTTCTGCGACCGTTTCTCAGCGGAGTCCTGAAGTTGGGATCTAGCTATAGTAATATGCCCCAGCTAAGGTTGAATTGGACAATGTGGGCCTGAATGCATCGGATCTCCGCTGTATTTCCCAAGGATCCTTCGCTAAAGGGATCACCAGGGCCTCTGCAGCTTCCTGGGGTTAAGAAACTACAAGAAGTTGTGAGAAAGAGGAGGCTGAGAAGAAGCTGTAAGCCTAACGCCATCACTTGTAGTTCCTCCATATGAAGGTTCACAAAGACCCTCACCTCGTTGGTCACGAAGTTCTCGGAACCACACTGCCAGGCTCTGGAGAATGTTCTTTACCCGAGTCTTCACGCCGGGCTGCCCAAACACGGTGACTTCGACTAGTTCCCCGGTGTCGGTTGGGTCCACCCTCAGCAAAGCCTGGCTCATCCACTCCATTTCCGAGAGTACGGTTCCGTCTTGGCCTAAACAGGTAAGGAGAGACTTTCAGGAGGAGCTAGATTTGGAGGGGCTGTTGGCTAGGTAAAGGGCGAGCAGGAGCTGAAGGTCAAATCAACGCCAATGGCCTGCGAATTTGAGAAAGAGATTGTGGAGTCACTAGCAGCCTGTCCTACACTGGAGGAGGCGAGCCCGAGGATACCCGGGTCAGGCTGGCTCACCAAAAATTGGGTCTACCAGCCAGGGGTCCAGGTGAAACACCAGAGGTTCGTTCAGTTCCTGCGCGGAAAACCACCACGGCCGGACGCGAATCGGTGGTGGCGGAACGTGAAACCCGAGCAGCTTATCCAGGGAGTGAAACGACATCCCTGACATCCCTTCGTCCCCAGCGGCTTCATCTGCACAGGAGTGGCCGAGCATGATAGACTCCAGAGAGTCCGCAGCCCAAAGAACGTGCTCCAAATGGCTGTCTCCGGCTTCCTCCAGCCCCAGGTTTCCCCAGCGGGCTCCTTTATACAGTGCTCGACACCCCACCCATCCGGCACCCTCCCGCTGCGCAGGCCCACTTGACACCCAGCTTCCCGCGCTGCTCGCGACCCCCAGCTACTTTTGACTTGAGCTGGGTTTTGATCTCAGACGCCCTGGGGTCCTCATTTCAGCCTTGGAAGGCGTCCTGTAGTCTCAAAGGCTCGTGATTCATTAACATGTGAATTTGATTTGATGACCCTTTGACCCTGAATCACCTGTGCCAAGGTTAAGGTTTGCATATCACCTTCTAAGCACTAGTGGGCAGATCAGACCTAGGACAGACTCCTCAAATCTGTAAAATTTCTCAAGTCCTCCTCGCTGCTGTCTTCTGACTGTCCAGGTGGTTACAATTTTAGATTTTTATTCCACTTGAACACTTAAATTTTCAGCCCTCTGTGAATTTACATTCAGAAGTCTTAATATTGTGCTTCAGTTTATAGACTAGCCATTCTCTTATTGCAAATATCCAAAATGATCAGTCTCTTCACGTGCAATTAAAACGAACATTTCCGGATGATTATACGGTACTTCAGAGCTAATATTTAATCTTAATTGGCATCAAGTTTAGTGCAAATAAAATTATATTTAGAGGCTTAGGAAAGTTTTGACAGGGAGGCTTCCCTAGAGTGAAATCATTCCCGCCTTTCTGTCAGTAACAATGTTGGCCAATCAAACCTATTGAAACTATTAATAACAATTCTGTTTGTTACACAGGGAGTTTCCCCGAAAGATGGTTTCAGTCATTATGCAAATGAGCCGCATGCTTTATACACTGGAAAGTTCTCTTTGGGTTTACACAAAAAAGCCGATCCTGAAAGCCAGTCATTTCTGTAGGGAGTGGACTCAAGATATCAGAGTTGGACCTCACCCCCCTAGTTCTCTTATCAGTGAATAAACCCAAAAGAGGCACTCATTTCTTTGTGCACTAGCCACAACACGTTCAATTGAGAATACTCAGGCTCAACTCTGAGAAATTTCTTAAATTCTACTCACCAGTAATAATTTCATCACACTGATTTAATGCCAAAAAACATCAAAAAAAGAATATTTCAAGCTACTCTATCATGTTTTCAACAAAACATCAGAGGTGGTCATTACAGAACAAGAAGCAAGTTAAACAAATTTTGTTTATTTCCACCATCCTAAGTAAACATGTCAATGAATATTTCCTCCAAATGTTCTTAATTTTAATTAAATTTTAAATTATAAAAAATTCCACATATTCAAAAAAATCATGTAACACACCCAGGTACCCTCCTTCAATTTCACAGATGTTGACATTTCCCCACCTTTGCCTCAGTTCTCTTCTTTAAAATAGTATATCTTTGAAGGTTGAGGCAGGAGGAGCGCAAGTTCAAAGCCAGCCTCAACAACTTAACAAGGCCCTAAAACAATTTAGCAAGACCTGGTTTCAAAATGAAAAATAGAAAAGGCTGGGGAATGTGCTCAGTGGTTAAGCATCCCTGGGATCAATCCCCAGTATCCCCAGTACAAATATATATACATATGTATATATACACATACACACACACACAAGTTGAGAGAGAAACACTGAATCTCATTTTAGTGGCTATTTCTACCTCTAATTTTAAAAATCAACACAATACATATTATAAAAAGTCATGAGGATATACAATAAAATGTGAAAGTTCTCAGACATAATCTTCCTTAATCTCTTAGTATTCCTTTTTCAATTATGCACATTATGAATTTTCTTTTCCAGTATAAATTGTCTTTTTATTTTTAAGCTGTCTTTTGTGTTTTTGCCAGGTTTAGGTAGTGCATGCCTGTAATCGTAGCTAGTCTGAAGCCTGAAGCAGAGGGATCCTCAGTTCCAGGCCAACCTGGGTCACATAGCAATACTTCATTTCAAAGAAGAGAGAGAGATTGGGCACATGTGGGGGCAGGGGGGGGGGGAATGGGAGGAATCCTTCCTTGTTCTCTGAAGAGATTCCCTCTACTTACTAAGAATATTGAAATTTCTGTCTTAACAATTAAGACAGAATCCTCAAACCATCTGTTTTTGTTTGTTTGTTTTTAATAGTGTTGCAGAACTACTGAACCTAGGGCCTAACACAAAGCTAGGAAAGTGCTCTACCACTGAACTACACCCCCAGTTCTGGGGTTAATTCTTTTAAATTAGGGATAAGGTGGAGATACAATTTCATCTTTTCATAAAATTGGTACTTTTTATTTATTTAGTACTTGGAATTGAATCCAGGGGTCCTTTACCACTGAGCTACATCTCCAGTTCTTTTTATTTTGGGATAGTCCTGTTAAATTGGTGAGACTGGCCTTGAATTTTCAATCTTCTTGTCTCAGCCTTCGGCATCACTGGGATTATAAGCATATGCCTCTGCACCTGGTAAATTGGTGTGTTTTTGTTTTGTTTTTGATACTTTGGATGTAACTCAGGGGCACTTGACCACTCAACCACATCCCCAGCCCTATTTTGTATTTTATTTAGATACAGGGTCCCACTGAGTTGCTTGGCAGCCTTGCTGTTGCTGAGGCTGGCTTTGAACTTGAAATCCTCCTGTTTTAGTGCCCCTGGGACACACACCCCCTACCCCCCCACCCTCGGTCTGGGATTACGGACATGCACCACTGCACCTGGCGCTTTTTTATTTCACCTTTTCTCCTGAGAATGAACTCAACTTAAAACCACTTCAAATTATCTCTTTGAGGTTTTCAAATTGGAGGCCAGCCTCAGCAATTTATCAAAACCCTATCTCAAAATAAAAAATAAAATGGGCCAGGGATGTAGCTCAATGGTATAAGATCTCTCGGTTCAATCCCCAGTACCTCAAGATTTATATATAAAAAATTTATTATATATATATACATATATATATATATATATATACACACACACACACACACACACACATACACGCACACATATACTTAAACATTTTCAGATTCCCACATGTAGCTTGAGTTAGCTGCAGGCAATTAATTATAATGTGCAGACATTTGAGAAAGACAAGTTTCTTTGTCATTCTCATCTACATGGCAGTTTGTTTCTGGTTTGCTTTAATTTTGGAGGTATAGTTCTTTGAGATTCCTGTTTTATTGTTTCCAGCACCTGGCAAGTCCTAAATTTTATTTGCTGGTTTCCATGCCAGCTTCTAACAAAATTAGACCGATTTTAGCATTTAACCTGCAGCATGTTTTTAGCATTTAACAGTTGTTTTATCATTCTGCTACCTCCCAGGTGTCCTGCTTTGATATTGGAAATGGAGGTGACTTAAATATTGACTTCATCATTTTTCTAGCTTCTATTTAAACCTTTTGAACCCTACCAAAACCCAGGCAAAACAAAACAAAAAACTACCAAGATTTCCTGCAGATTATGTGCTTTCATTTTGTCTGCTAAGCCCTAGAGAAACCAGCCTGAGGGGCTTTGGGTTCAGCAACAGAATATGTGAATGAATTGCTTTTGTAATTTCTCATTGAGAAACTTTTAGGCTTCATTATATCACTTTTTGATGTAACCTTTAACTTATAAAATGAAATATTCGTATAATGAAAAAGGGTATAAAACAAAATGAAGACACAATATCTTTTTACACCCATAATGACATCAAAATATATGTCATAGATTATTAGAAAAAATGGTTAAAATAAAGAAAATAGCTGATCCAGGTGTGATGGCACACATCTGTAATTCCAGCTACTTGGGACACTGAGGTAAAAGAATCAAAGTTTTTGGCCAACCTGGACAATTTAGCAAGACCCGATTTCAAAATAAAACAAAAAGAGCTGGGAGTAGTAGAGCACCCCTGGGTTCAATCTCCATTACCACTGAAAGAAAGGAAAGGAAAAGAAAGAAAACAACCACTGCAGTGGGGCACACTTGTAATTCTAGTAATTCAGGAGAATGAAGCGAAAGCTCAGGTGAACCAGTTTGGGCATGGAAGGTGTCTCACAGTTAAGAGTGATTTTAAGGAACCTGACTAGGGAAGGGAAGGGAGGCTAGCAGTATGAAAATACTAGTGACTCAGCTACATCAATGTTATAGCAGTGCAATTCTCCATAGCTAAACTATGGAACCAAACTAGGTACCCTTCAACAGATGAATCTATACATACACAATGGAGTATTACTCATCCATAAAGAAGAATGACTTTATGACATTTGCCTATAAATAGATGGATTTGGAGACTATCATTCGAAGTGAAATAAGCCAATCCCCCAAAACTAGAGGTTGAATGTTATCTTTGATACATGGAAGCTAATCCATTATGGGGGGTGGGGTGGGATAGAAGTTCAGTGGATTAGACAAAGGGGAATGAAGGGAAGGGAAGGAAGATAGGAAAGGGAAAGATAGTAGAATGAATCTGACATAACTTTCCTATGTAAGTATATGAATACACCACAGTGAATCTAACCATTGAGTGCATATACAAGACAGGGGTCCTAATTAGAGTAAGGCATATTCCATTCTTGTATAGTTATATCAAAATAGATTATACTATCATATATATC